CCCTTTCCGGGGAGTGGTTACCGAGTGTAACTCATGGCAACACGTTGTGCCTGGCTTTAACAAAAAAACGTTGTGCCAGGCTTTCGTTGAACGCGCAGCACTGTCACAGCGAAAGCTAGAAGGGCGACCTTTCAGAGCCTTTTTTTTTAACACTCTTCGGGTAGCTGCTGCAAGCTCACTTGAAAGGTACCAACTAGCCATTAACCGTTGTGTAATAGGCAGGAATTCACTACGCCGTCTTTAGTCATTCTTTGGGGAAGCGTGGTATGCGCTAAACACTTGCAATGAATTCCGTGCGAATTTAGTGTTTCATGCAGGCGATGAAGATGTACGCCTGAAGTGGGTATGTGGCAGAGGTGATGAAGAACAAGCTTTTGTAATGTGTTGGAACATTGGACGACCCACTCGTCGCGCAATTAGCATTGTATGATGCTTGGTTATTGTTTTGCTGTTCTAAAATGCTTTATTACTCATATTAACGCGATTCCTTTCCCGACATCAAGCCTGCCTAAGGCAACTTCGCAAACATGTTCCAAGAACCGGCATGGCTCAGCGGTAGAATACTAGTGGACCCAAGTTCAATTCCCACTATGTCCTTGGTGTTCTTATTGAAGTTCAAGGCGTGGGTCGGTCGTTACCTGTGTGTATGCGTTTATGTAAGAGCCACCTCGCAGCATATCCACGGAGTGTGATGATGAGTGGGGCGAAGTTTCGGACGGTTTTATCGGCAAACTGTGAATCATCCGCTGGCCGCGTCCGTTCGTCGTCTGCCTGTTTGTTTGACGCACAGACGGATGCACAGGTGGACGGACGGGACGGATGGACGCTTCGCCCTACTCATCATCGTTCACTTTGTGGATATGCTGTAATTTTTTTTATTTTGTGTGATAGTTGTTATGGACACCGGCGGCGGACAACTACGGCGCCGCGCGTGACCCGTGTTATGATCTCGTAACAGTTTTCGCTGTAAAACACAGACGCATTCAGTCTTTGCAAGTGGTTGATCATTTTCTTGTTCGTAACTCAGATGATGTGGTGATCAACGTTACTAGATAGTAACGTTGGTGGTGATGGTGTTGGCAGAGCGTACGTAACCTTACAAGTTGCTCTGCGTTTAGCGTAGACAAGTTTTATTTTTTGCCACGTCATTACCTCATGAGTTGTGTGAAAGATACTATTGTCGGTGACAACGAAGAAGTGGTGTTCAGAACTAGCGCTGATATTCCGGTGGACAGGTTTCTACAGCTACTTTTGTTTTACTTATGCCCCAGCGTTGTCTCATTTGAGCACAGTCTGTACGTACAGAAGTCGGTGATCTGTATCGAGCAAGGGGGGCCCCTGTACTAAGTATACCTTGGAAAAGTGGACCGAGCCCATAAACAAGATTTTGCCCCGCCGCGGTGGTCTAGTGGCTAAGGTACTCGGCTACTGACCCGCAGGTCGCGGGTTCAAATCCCGGCTGCGGCGGCTGCATTTCCGATGGAGGCGGAAATGTTGTAGGCCCGTGTGCTCAGATTTGGGTGCACGTTAAAGAACCCCAGGTGGTCGAAATTTCCGGAGCCCTCCACTACGGCGTCTCTCATAATCATATGGTGGTTTTGGGACGTTAATCCCCACACATCTATCATAAACAAGATTTTGAGGGTATTGCACAACATGTTCTTAGACACGTCGATGGTTGTGTGGCGACGCAAAGCGGTGCTTCTGTGTGCGGTGCAGAGAGCGCACGCGCCCGCACGAGAAAGTTATCCTCGAGAGGAAGGGTGTTAATAAAAGTCAGTTGTTGTTTGGGACGCGAGTTGTTCACTTGCGCAGCTCTGCCGAGCGACGCGTTTCAACATTGGTGACCCGGACTCGGAATACAGACACAGCGACCGGAGTGTCGAACCAGCCGCAATATGGATTCAACGTCCACGACCTACGCCCCTCCGACAGTCTCCTCAGTCGACGGTAAGCTGCCCCATTTTTGGACTGCGGACCCCGCACTTTGGTTCATACAAGTGTAATCTCAGTTCGCAGCCAGACGAATCACCGCAGACCTTACGAAATACCACTACGTAGTCAGCAGTCTGCCGCCCGCCATAGCCAGTGAAATCAGGGATCTGTTGCTCGCACCACCTTTCGAAAACGCATATGCAACGCTAAAAGAAACCCTTAATTATTCGCCCAGTTACGCTCTCCGAACCACAACGACTGCAGCAATTGCTGCGTGGCACGGAACTCGGCGACCGTACTCCTAGTCAGCTTTTGCGGCACATGCAACAGTTGCTTGGCGAAACATCAAACACGATAGATGGAGTATTGCTCCGAGAACTTTTTTTGCAAAAGTTGCCTGCAGGCGTCCGCATGGTCATCGCGGCCTCAGAGCACAAGGATTTAACCGCAGCCGTCGAACTTGCTGACAAACTGGTAGCAATGACACCGCCCACACTCATGGCTGCCGTGCAAGCGCAACAGCCTCTAAACGAACTTCAAGAGATGCGTGAGGAGATTGCTCGACTTGCCGAAACAGTATCAGCTTTGCACGCTAGCAGGAGGGCGCAAACGATAATCGAGCCTAACACGCCGCTATCGCAAGAGCTGCTCGAGCATATCTGCTGGTATCATCGGAGGTTTGGAAGTAGTGCGCGTAAATGTGTCCCACCGTGCGCGCACTCGGGAAACAGCCGCGGCAGACACTGGGGGCGACCAGTGCTACTACGTTGCCTCCAAGTCGTCCCTCAGTATTTTTTATTACCGACCGCAACAACGGAGTACGTTTCTTAGTGGACACAGGTGCCGAGGTGAGCGTTATACCGGCGTCACAAGCTGAAAGAAAGAAACCTAGTACATTGCCCTTGCAAGCTGTCAATAACACGGTGATAACAACATATGGCCATCGTTCACTGTCGCTGAACTTCGGTTTCGGCAGAACGTTTAGCTGGGTGTTCATAGCTGCTGATGTCAAATTCGCCATACTAGGCGCAGACTTTCTCCAGTTCTTCGGTCTGTTGGTCGACGTCCGCAACAAACAGCTTCAAGATCCCGTTTCTCGGGGAGCGGTACAAGGCACGCCGTGTTGGCACCCCCCTATCAGCCCGGCCTTGCTTAGTCCGGCTGGAGAAGCGTACTTCACCGCAATACTACAAGAGTTCCCAGAGCTGACACGATAGCCACAGGCATTTCCAGAAGTAAAGCACGGCGTCCTGCATCGCATCGAAGCCACAGGCCCACCGGTCTATGCGCGACCACGGCGCCTGTCACCCGAGAAGCTGCGGTTGGCTCGACAGGCGTTTGCCCACATGATGGAACTCAGGATAGTACGTCCTTCATCCAGCCCATATGCGTCACCTCTTCACATGGTCCCAAAATCAACAGACGGTGATTGGCGCCCTTGCGGGGACTATCGAGCGCTGAACCGGGTAACCGTGCCAGACCGTTACCCAGTCCCGCACATTCATGACATGACCTCCTTCCTGCATGGTGCTACCATTTTCTCTAAAATAGGTCTAGTGCGAGCATATCATCAGATACCCGTAGCACCGGAGGATATCCCCAAGACCGCAATAACAACGCCGTTCGGAATGTTCGAGTTCCTACGCATGCCTTTCGGCTTACGCAACGCCGGCCAAACTTTTCAACGGTTTATGGATGGCGTTGTCCGTGGCCTCGACTTTTGCAAGGTATACCTCGATGATCTTCTGATTGCTAGCAGCACTCCTGAAGAGCACGAGCGGCATCTGCGCTACGTACTTCAGCGACTGACAGAGAACGGCATCGTTATCAATACGGCAAAGTGCGTGTTTGGGGTACCGACACCATCATTTTTGGGCCACAGCATTTCAAGTGCCGGAGTACAGCCCCAGAAGGACAAGGTGGAAGCAGTACGGCAGTTTCCACAGCCGAAAAACCTCCGCCAGCTTCGAGAGTTCCTGGGACTCGTGAATTTCTACCGTAGGTTTATCCCGAAATGCGCCAACATCCTTCACCCTCTCCACAGCCTACTTGCGGCATCTGGATCTAAGGCAACTGCCATTCAGTGGAACGACCAATCCACACAAGCATTCCGGATGATAAAGGAAGCTCTCGCAAATGCTACCATGCTCACGTACCCGCAGCTGGGTGTTCCTCAGTGCGTCATGGTGGACGCCTCCGATGCAGCGATTGGAGCCGTGTTGCAGCAGAGGGTGAGCGGAGTGTGGCGACCAATTTCCTTCTTCTCCAGAAAACTGAGCCCGTCCGAACGAAGGTACAGCACCTTCAGTAGGGAACTCCTGGCCATATACGCGGCTATCCGGCATTTTCGACATTATGTGGAAGGACAAGAATTTTTTGTGCTCACGGATCACAAGACACTCACCTACGCATTGCGCGCGAACTCCGATTCTGGTGCGCACGTGGCACGGAAGCTCCGCCAAATGTCGTGCATCGCAGAATTCACAACAGATATACGCCATGATAGTGGCACGGATAATGCTGCTGCAGACGCTCTTTCGCGCGGTCCAGTGAATGCCATCAGCCTGCCGAGCGGCGTAGACTTCACCACACTTACGACGGCTCAACGCAGTGATGGAGAATTGAAGCGTCTACTGACGTCTTCAACCTGCGCCTTGAAGCTGCAATGGTTCGCAGAACCCACAGGATCCGTATGCTGCGACATGTCTACAGGCAAGGCCCGACCGTTCGTCCCCTCGAACCTGCGTCGCAGCATTTTTGACTTGCTGCACAGCCTGGCGCATCCCGGGATTCGAGCCACGCAACGGCTATGCACAGCGAGCTTCGTGTGGCCAGGAATAAACCGGGATGTCCGATACTGGACACGAGAGTGCATCGCGTGCCAGCGCTCCAAAGTTCAGCGACATACTGTGACCCCCTTCGGATCCTTCCCTCTGCCGGACTGTCGATTTGCCCATGTGCATGTTGACATTGTGGGACCACTGCCGTTGTGCTAGGGGCAAAGCTACTTGCTAACCTGCATCGATCGCTTCACGCGATGGCCGGAGGCCGTGCCCATTCCAGACATGACTGCTGATACCGTCGCCCGCGCATTTATCTTCCACTGGGTGGCCCGCTTCGGAGTGCCGGCAACCGTGACTACGGATCGCGGAACACAGTTTGAGTCCGCCCTGTTCGCAAGCGTCACCCGGCTCTTGGGTACTCACTGCATCAGAACAACTGCCTACCATCCGATAAGCAACGGTATAGTGGAAAGGTTCCATCGCCATCTGAAGACGAGCCTGACGGCTACTACGAGTCACAGTTGGGTAGAGGCACTGCCGTTTGTTCTGTTGGGCGTTAGGACAGCTCTGAAAGCAGATATTGGATGCTGCTCCGCTGAACTGGTGTACGGAACAACGCTTCGCCTCCCAGGGGAGTTTTTCACTACCAGTAAGGACGAAAACGTGTACGGAAACGCGGACTACGCCGTGCGACTGCGAGACATCATGAGCAAGCTACGCGCTGTTCCTCCGCGTCCGCCCGCAGCCCGGCCAGTCTACGTGGACCGGGAACTCTCCTCCTGCTCTCACGTGTTTGTGAGGCACGACGCCGTACAGCCTCCACTCCGGCCCCCGCACGACGGGCCTTTCAAGGTGCTGCGACGGGCAGACAAGCACATATACAATCGACAGAGGTGGTCGTCACGAGGTGGTTTCCCTAGACCGCGTAAAATCAACACACGTGGACTCCGACAGCGAAGCACCTGCACCACCTCGAGCTCCATCTTCGCAGGCACCCCCGGCAGACCACGTAGCGCAGCCCCAATAAGTCCTCAAACGGTTTACGCGGAGTGGACGGTGTACGAGACCCCCGGTGCGCATGAACTTATGAACCGCAGTGGGTCGTCCGAGTGCGGCCGTTGTGCGCGCACTCACTAGGGGGGGGAGTACTGTGGCGACGCAAAGCGGTGCTCTGTGTGCGGTGCAGAGAGCGCATGCGCACGCATGAGAAAGTTATCTTCGAGAGGAAGGGTGATAATAAAAGTCAGTTGTTGTTTGGGACGCGAGTTGTTCACTTGCGCCGCTCTGCCGAGCGACGCGTGTCAACAGTTGCTTGGTGTTTGTTGATCGCGCGGATTTTATGTGGTCTGTGATCCGATGAGGCCTGTACTAGACTTCTAAAGCTCCAAGGGACAACGTTTTGCTATGAGATATTTTCTTGTGGTTCCAGAGAGATCATGTTTACGGGTCTTGTTCTCCCCGTTCCGCAAAACGAGCTTTAAACTATCGCTCTGCTAATTCGACAATTGTGAAGAGAGAATTGGCTGCGTCTTATCTCTTTTTGTTTTTACGCTGTACGTGATAGTTGTAACGCTGTACGTGAGATAAATTTAAAGAAAAAAATCACAGCATATCCGTGGAGTGAATGATGATGAGTGAAGCGAAGCGTGCGTCAGCCCGTCCGTCCGTGCGTCTATCCATGCGTCCGTCCGCCTTGTTCGTGCGTCCGTTCGTCAGTCCGTCCATCCGTCAGGTCGTGCGTACATCCGTACTTAGATCCGCGCGTCCTCCCATCCGTCCGTCCGTCTGCTAGTCTGTCTGTCCGTCCGTCCGTGCATCCATCTAGTGAACACTCCAAGTACCACCATATCGCATCCCCTGTGGCACATAGCCGCTCTATAGCGGGTATGTGCCACTGGTGGCTACTTACTACTACTACATACATGGGAGAATGTATAGACCCATGCCTTAAGAGCCCCTAAAACCAATCCGACTTTTTTCCTTTTGACATGCAGATTGATACACATAGTATGACATACTGAGACATGCAAATGATAAGGTTGCCTGAAAAAGAAAAAAAAAAGTCAGCAGTCTCGCAAAAAAGGGCGAAGCAATTAATGCGATTGCAACATATTCTAATGTTTTACGAATCTAGACTAGCATGTTTAGGAGCAATGATAATGGTAGTAAACATGCACCTGCTAAGTAGCCAAGTTTCCTGCGACGCAGCCACAGTAGATGACCACCACAAGGCGTAGTGACGGCGTTGTTGAGAAGTGCCTCCCGTGGGCAGCGCATGCTGGTACTAAGGACAATACGCGTCGCCGCTGGTGGTTTTGTGTAAGGTGCATCTATATGTGGGGGGCCGCTCCAGGTTCACATTTGGCACCGTTGTTCTGTGTGTTGAGAGCGCAGCCCGCTCCCGCCTGTTGTGGAGGCAAGAGCGGCGCGCTGATCGCTGCGCTAAGCCCCCCCCCCCCCCCCCTCTGGTCACTCACAAGAGAAGCGTGCACGCAGATGACGCCGGCCGGAAAGGCGATGCTCGCTCTGCAGAAACTCCTTCTCCCCTCTCTCTCTCGCATATATATATATATATATATATATATATATATATATATATATATATATATATATATATATATATATATATATATATATATCAGCAAAGAATTTAAAAATAAGAGACACTTCAGTGGCGAATTGAACCGAACGCGTACTACTCGCACTAGCCTGTACTCAGACTAATTTTTTATTTCTCCCCATGTTAATTAATTAATATTTCTTAATTACATATTTTTTTAAATTATGGACTGAAAACCCAAAATATGAACACTGAGATCTATAGCACTTTCAGAAACCACCGACTAAATTGTTTCCTGTACGATACGTCTCGCGCTGTTAATTTTTCCGCGTTGTAAAAAAAGCCCGCGAAATGTGATAAGAAGCCGTGTGACGGACCGCGGGCGCACTGCTACAGTGCTGCTATACGTTTTTTTTACCGTATATATATATATATATATATATATATATATATATATATATATATATATATATATATATATATATATATATATATATATATATTAAATAGATGATCAGAGTTTCTTCCGGCTACCGTAATAAAAGTTATAAACTTCGAGAATAGTGCAGTATAGGAAACAAAACAATAAAATATTTATTTAATCCTAACAGTTTCGGCTGGTGGACCAGCCTTCTTCGGAGGATGTAAGTGAAATGATACAAGTTCCCGTAGCAGAGGGTCACCCTCACAGTTTAAAGACCCTCCAAAAAAAAAAAGAGAGAGAAAAAGACAAGCGGGCGAACGAGGTAGCAACAGACAACAAGAAGCAGAAGAAGGAGAGGAACTAGAAAGGAGCGACGGAGAGCCGCCGGAAACGAGCGGGTAATTCTGGCATTGTTACTGGGTATAGGTAAGACGCGCCGCCAGCGGAGGCGACCAAGAAGAACGGAAAAAATGTGGAACATGTTGCCGCTTACTCGCATCCCACACATGGATCGAGTTTAAGTTCACGTGGTTCGGCGGTGTGATATGTGTCGTGCGCGAAGCTTCAAAGTGCGCGCCATTCAAAGTGCGCGCCATTCAAAGTGCGCGCTTGAAGCAGACAACGACGAAGGTAGCACGAGCGCTGAGTAGCGGGGCGGCGAAGGTACGAGAAGGAACGAGGAAGACGGGGCTCTCGACTCGGCCGTTGGGTTCCGGACCCGAGCCTAGTAACAGTCGAGCCCGACCTACCTGCCACGTTCTACCTGCCACGGCCGTGCGTCGCTGACGTGCTGCGGCTTCAAGGCATCCTGTGCTTGAGGACACGCGGAGCTGTCGGGCTACGGGCACGAGTTCCAGCAGAGGTGTCCGGCCTGTACGTGGTCGGTGGTGGTGCGTATACCCTTCAAGTTGCCGCCTCGTCTACCGTGCGAGCAACGCGGAGCTGTCGGGCTACGGGCACGAGCTCCAGCAGATGTGTCCAGCCGCGACGTGGCTGCGGGGGCGGAGCCTACCCATCAACTAGTCGCCTGGTTGACCGTGCGAACAACGCAAGCCAGCTCAAGACGTAGCAACGAACCTTGGTGAGACCGACCTCATGTCTTGTGTCCATGCTAAAAAGGAGGGACGGTTAGTTTAGGACTTTGATAGTTCACAGAGACAGTGAAGGATTTTTTAAATAGCCTGTCCATGTTATGTGTGTTCGTTTTTCGTGTGTATAAAGTGTGGCGTACAAACGGCCTCGTCTTTTCGTGGGAGTCTGGGGCGACGGCTCGGACACCCATTAACTAAGAACCTGCACGTTGCTATAACACCCACTGCAATGTAACACTGGCGTCCGCGACAGGACGAGGCCATTTGTATCGCTTGAGTCAGGCTGACGATTAGTGAGGAAAAGATGAGCTCGACAGATTTAATGGCGTTAGCCATGCGCATGGGTTTGGAAGGTGCGGAATTGAAAACTTGGATTGATGAGCGAGAAGCTCGAGCTCGTGAGGAAAGGGCGGCAGAAAGAGAGGCGAAGAAGGAACAAATGCAGTTGCAATTACAAGTCGAGGAGCAGGCCCAAAGGACGATCCAATTGCGCCTTCAACTGACTCAGACTGAAACCGCCAGAGAGCCTGTCGGGGCAGACATAGGTCGATCATCAAGGGTGTCTTCCAACGTCAATCCTCATAATTTTATACCAGGATTTGATGAAAACCGGGATGACCTAGATGCGTACTTAAAAAGGTTCGAGAATGTGGCGACAGGGCAAGAGTGGCCTAGAGACAAGTGGGCCACGGCTCTGAGTTTGTGCCTAAGCGGAGAAGCGCTAAAAGTGTTTGGTCGCCTATCCCCTGAAGATGCACTTGATTACGAGAAAGTGAAACTGGCTCTATTTCAGCGATTTCGCTTCACAGCGGAAGGGTACCGTGAGAAGTTCCGGCACAGTAAGCCTCAAGAGGGAGAAACCGGCCGGCAGTACGCTGCACGATTAATGAGTTTTTTCGACCGATGGGTGGAAATGTCGAAAGTAGACAAAGAATACGCGTCAGTTCGTGACCTGATTGTAGCTGAACAGTTCATCAGTAAGTGTCATGATCGAGTGGCGCTCTTTTTGCGTGAAAAGAATTGCCGTAAACTTGAAGAAATGGCTGAAGCGGCAGATCAGTTTTTAGAGGCACAGCGACAGTCTAACCTGCTTGTTTTCCGAGAAAAGGCTGAAAACGGCATGGCTGTGAAAAGTGGGAGCACGACCTCAAAAACTTCAGTGCAATGTTTTGTTTGCAACAAAATCGGCCATAAAGCCTCAGATTGTCGCGCTCGGACGAAGCAACCTTACTGTGGGCATTGTCGTAGGGCAGGACACGATACCCAAGTTTGCACCAAGAAACCCGCCACGTATAAAAAGGCTTCATGTATATTGTCCGAAGAGAACTCTAAAGACAATGATAACGCATCCGGCGGCGGGCCCGAGAATAATGTGTCGGGGGCAGTAAACACGCAACAAATGGCAACGAAATATCAGATGCCAGTTCTCCAGGGTCTCCTATTTGGTAAGCCTGTCTCTGTTCTTCGGGATACAGGAAGTAACACGACGGTTGTGCGACGTTCCCTCGTGCCCGACGAAGTGCTGACAGGAGCTATGACGACAGTATTTTTAGCCGATGGGAGCAGAATAAAAGTTCCCGAAGCAAAAGTGGAGATATTTTCGCCCTATTTTTCTGGCACGGTGATCGTTAAATGCATGACTTCCCCATTGTATGACGTCATCGTGGGAAACGTGCCAGGATCCCGTGATCCCAATGATCCAGATAGCAGGTGGAGCGAGGGACTGTCGGAAAGGAAGACGAAGTCTAAAAGCGTCAAGGAGAGATTAGGGGTGATGAAAGCAGATCGCTACGGGAGACCAATGATCAGCGTAGTCAAGAATTCAAGTGCTTCGTTGGATTCGGTGAAAGCAACCGCTTTGAATATCAACCAACGAATCTTCAAGATTGAGCAGGCGGAGGACAAGAGCCTAGATCTCTGTAGGAACAAAGTTGGGCAGGTGTTTTTTGGGAGAGGATCGACAGAATATTCGTTTGTTATGCAAAAGGGAGTTTTATATCGCCATTATCGGTTATCCTCCGGCAAGATAGTACAGCAGGTAGTTGTTCCTCGCAAACTGCGG